TCTCTCTCACACGCACACACATACACAAACACACGCGCGCGCGCGCTGCGCGCGTGCGGGTACACGATCCCCCCTCTTTCTATCTTTCTCTCTCTCACACGCACATGCTCTCTCTCTCTCTCTTTCTTTCTCTCTCTCTCTCTCTCTCTCTCTCTCTCTCTCTCTCTCCCACACAAAGAAACACACACAAACACATACACACACACACACACCCTCACATAAGTGCACACACTCCTTAAGCACACGCAAACTCACACATACTCGCCCCTCTCTCTCCCTATCTCTCCCACTCTTTCTCACTCACTCTCACTCGCTCTCACGCATACTGTATACTACACACACACACTCACACTGATTCGAGGCTGACCGTGTTGACCTGACTGACCGGAGGAGCAGTCCACTTTTCGCCGACCAGTATGGGCCAAACCAAGAAGCGGGAACTTGGTGTCATTGACATAGTACGACAGAGCCTTGGATTAAAGGGGAGGGGGGGTTATACTGTCGTCTCAGGGTTGCAGGGTTTTTAATAGGCTTATTTTCGAAGTTTAAGGGAATGCTTTGAGCATCATTAGTGCTTTTTGTGCCATGCAAACATCAGTGGTGCAAATGTATTCTTAGGCAATGAATGGAGTGCAGGAAGATGAATTGGTGGGGAACGAGCAAAGGTTGGAGTTGAAAAGAGGAGATTGATAGAAAGGTAGACGGACAGACAGACAGGGTTAAAAAGGGGTAAAAAAGACGAGGTTACGCAGATTTAGAGGCAAACAGAAAAGAAGGGGGGGGGGGGGGGCGACATTAACCCTATCCGTACGTCAACGGTACGTCGTATTTTACTATCGTATCCACACGACGTGGGGAACTCTGTGCCACCACTTTCCAAAGAGGAAATTTACTCGTTAATCCGATCCGTACGCTTTGCATGCAGTCTGTCAAAATGATTTTTTGAGAAATACTGAAAGTTTCAAAGAGATTTTCGTACTAGAGGTACTCAAAAGTGTGAATAATACAACCAAGAGGATACAAAATGACCCCAGGGCGTACGGATAGGGTTAAACAGAGTCAAGACAGAAAAAAAAGCAAGAAGAGACGATGATAGAGAGAAAGAGAGAGATTTTGCGCGCGCGCGCGCGCGCGCGCGTGTGTGTGTGTGTGTGTGTGTGTGTGTGTGTGTGTGTGTGTGTGTGTGTG